GGCGGCCGCGGGTCCCGGACCCCCATCCCCACCCGCCACCGACGCAGGCGGGGCCGGGAGCCCGGGGCCGGCGGGGCTGGGGCTGCGGGGAGCCCCGACCCCCTGCTCGGGCAGGAGCCAGCGCTCAAAGGTGCCGTGGAAATGGATCGTTTAGGAAAATCCCGGGAGAACACCGAGCGTTGGCTTTGTGATTACAGCACGTGCTGTCTTTTTTGGAAGGCCTGAACATGTATTTGATAAATTGAAGCATTAATAAACTCATAAGGTAAAGATAAAAATACATACACACAAAACACGATTAAAAAAATAATACAAAGTCTTGTTCTCTTCAGACTTAATTTAAATGCGTCCACAAATAAAAGACATTAAGTAAAAATAAATAATTTTGACAGTACAGATTTTTTTTGGGGGGGTGATAATTTGGAGCTTGGAGGAGGAGACCTGCTTTTCTGTCCTGAACTAGAATTCCTTACAGGAAATAACTGTGCAAGACTGAACCGCAAAAACATAGGACTCTTGAGTAACAGAAGAGACCATCCGTCAAGAAACTCTTGGAAAGGAAAGCAAAATCTCAGCAATCGCAAAGAGACCTGAAACTGTAAATCATGGCTGGAGCTCCTCGGTGCCAGGAGGAGCAGGGCTTCTGCTGTGCTGTGTGCTCCAAAGAGGTTTAGAAAAAGGGGATGAAGAAAAAGATGTCAGTGTCTTGGGATAGTAAAGAGCTGTTTAGGTTAACCAAATACAGGAGACAAAGCAGTGCAGAAAAATCTGATGATGCCAAATCAGTGGGTGATAAAATTGTAAAGGTTAGCGTTAATAAGTACAAAAGTAAAGTGTATGGAAAAATAAAGTCCTAATTATATCTGCACAGTGATGGGTCAAAAATATTTACCACTCCAGGAGGAATACAAAATATGGAATCACGTGCAATTACGTAGAAGAGTAGCAAATACAGAGTTGGCCAAAGTGCCAAAGTGTGACATAGTAGGAAAGGAACAGAGAATCAAACAGAAAATGAAAATCGTGATACTGTACGGATGCATGGGGTTCCCACAGGCTGAGCTGTTCTATTCTCTCATCATCTCACCTAGAGAATTGAGTAGATAGAACACAAGGGTATTTAGAGGCACGGAGCTGCCTCTGCACAAGGGGACTGTAAATAAAACAGGATTCTTCCATCTGGAAAAAAGACAAACTGAGTGCAATGTTGGAGTCCCATACAATTACAGTGGGAAAGAGAAATTGTAAATCTTTGCTATTTCTTGTAACATAAGTTGTGGGGAGGTCTCGGTGAAGTTACCAGGGAGCAGGTTTAAAAGAAAGTAAATATTCTATACTAAGTGCTGTAACTTGTAGTCAGATGTGGGGTAGACTGATGCAGGAAGTCCTAGAGACCAAATGCAGATATGGGTCAGAAATGGGTTAGAGATGTGACCTTACGGGCTGGTGGGACACAGCCGGTGGTGCCGAACCCCATCCCAGGGGACCAGCACATGCCCAGGGCCAGTGAGCCCTTCACACCACCATGGATAACGTTATGGATAACAACAGCAGACACTCACCACAAAATCAGGGTCCGTGTCCCAGTCATCTCCCTGAGTCTCAACCTTCACCGACACATCGTGTCCCACGACAGCTTTCCACATCTGCACAAGGAGGACACAGCATCACTCAGAGCCCAGCGCGAGGGCTCCGCTGGACCCCACCATGGCGCATCAGGCCAGAGTGGGCACGGCTGGAGGGGGCTCTGTCAGGCCACCTCCTTGCTCAGCTCTCTGCCCCTCCAAATTGGCACCCCAAAGTAGCTGTTCTTGAGCCCAGCACCTCTTTCAGCAACGCACAGTTGTTTTCAGTGTAGACCCCAGTCTTCGTGCACACTGACTCCACAGTGAAAATGCCACCAGAGCAAATCCCTGAAATGTTATCAGTAAGTGGTGCCAAAAGGCCTTGTGTGGATTCACACCAATAGTGAGGATTCTATCCTTGAATTTATCAAGCATGAGCTAACAAAAAGAGCTCCTAATCAAGGGAGGCAAGTTTTGTATCATTCTTGAGGAGGCACATCGCGCATAAGGACCTTGAGGATGGTGCTAATCTACATGTTCTGAGAAGTTTAGCCAACTGGGCAGGAAAGTGAAAATTCTGCTTGTCCTAAGCTGAACTACCTTCATTATAACACTACCCATCACGCCCACAGGCCAAGAAGACCCTTGCCCAGGTGAAGACCCTTCCCCTGAGCATGTGTGGGAGCTGGAACTTGATGGTGTAATTGTATGTAAATTACTGACCAATCAAATATAGGTGGGAGGTTCTAACATCGTAAGGATATTGTAAAATGTGTGTAAAACTCACGCAGGGAGTTCCGATGGGTGGACAGACACGTTGGGTGGAGAGATCCCCCATGTCCCCAGCACCGAATAAAGTAATGCCTGCTCTTTAATACAGATAAGTGTTCAGGAGTTTTATTCCTGATTTCGGTGACAAAAATGCACACCTTATTTTCACGCAAATTAGTGCTCGCACCCGACTTCCATATTCTGCTTTTCCAAACATAAAATAATTGTCTGTGCTGTGGGAGACTGCTGGTCGGTTTAACCTCCCTTCTTCAGTCACAGTCGCGGCACAGCGCCGGAGCCGTGGCCTGCTCTGCCAGCGGGGAGAAACGCTCACTGACCCCGGGGGGGACTCCCCGCGTCTCCTGTCTCCCAACCCCTCAGCTGCTGCCCGGCGCCTGGGACAGGCGGTGTGCTGCTCGGGCAGTGCTGGTGCAGGGAGACCTGTGGTCTTTGTGTCTGTCAAACGGCAAAATCAGGAAATGGGGCTAAAATGGCGAAGTGTGCAGGGCTGAACAGGCCGAGGCTGCGGTGGTGCGGCTCCTATGGGCCCGAGGAAGTGACAGGCCCAGGAAGGGGAAGTTAAAGAAAAGTAATGTGAAACCTAAAACTCCTGCATTTCATTTGCAGGGTGACCGTGAAAAAAAGATGATGAAAAAGCCCCTCCCAAGCAACACCGGTTCCAGAAAAGGAGAGGCAGAAGGAAGATGGCACAGTTTGCCAGCCCTACACCACAGAGTAATCACCTAGCAGCATCTCACGCCCCACCACCTATCGCTGCTCGTGGGGGCAAGGGCTCCCAAATCATTCTCACTGTCGTCAAAGCAGCTTTTGGGGGGAAAAAGGGGCAGAAAGACTGAACTGAATGTGCTGCAAAGACTGGGCTGCTGAACCGCGTTTCACATCACTTAAACATCACATAACCCTGCGGACAGACCAGCGGGAGGGATGGGAAGTGCTCCATGATGCGTTTAACACCGCACTGTGTCCTTCCTAACAGCACTGACCTCTCCATCTCACAACCACACAGTGACCCACAAACTGGCTCCAGCACCCGATATGGCTGCTCTCTGTGTAAGCAGTGTTCATACTGAACAAGTAATTAATTGTACAACACAAAAAGATGTTGCGTGAGTAACCTCCCAGTTCAGTACAGTGCACCCATCGGTTCAGTTTCAAGCTGAGCTTACCAATTATCTAGAGACTCATCCCTGTAAAGACAACAGAAACTAAAAGAGTGCAGCAGGGATGAGAGTTTCTGTTGTTCAACAAAAGCCAGATCATTAGCTAAGGAGAGGACATGGCCTGAGGCAGTTTCACTGTGAAGATCTGGCTTTAGGCCTTCTCCTGGTTGCCTCAGGGAAGGGAAAAAAAGATTAATAACTAATGTTGTCATACTCCAGAACACAGCGCACAGCAGGTCTGTGACATCCCCCGCTGTGCTTGCGTGCACTGACAGTAATCTTAAGAAAACCTGAACATAGCTAATTGCAAATAGAAGCTGGGGAAGCAGGAAGACTCACATGGACAACATGGCACAACCAAACACTACCTTCCATCTCTGTATCCCCTCCCTCATTTATTAGCAGCCAAAGAAGTTTAAAGTTTGTGGCTCATTTTTGTTAATGATGAAACAGCAGCAATAATTGCTTAGCACAGGGCTGTTCAACAGGGAGCTGATTTGAAGCTGGCTCAAATGCAGGTGGCACAGGGTTTTAAATCCTGCTGCAAATGGCTCTTGACCCCCTGCTCTCCAAAGCCACCCACCACCCATCGTGGGAACCACGACAAACCACAGACTACAATGACACCACAAGGCTCCAGACACCCTTTGCAACGAGGAACATCGGCCAGAGGAGCAGCTCAACCCTTTAGTCTGTCCCATTTTCCCCCTTGAAAGCATCCGCCACAGTACAAATATGGGGCTGCTACAGGCAGCACAGTCACCCCGGCTGATTTGGAAATGTGGTTCCTCAGAGCCTCAAACAGAAGAGCAACAGCCATGACCAAAGTAGCACCCAGAGAAGTGAATGCTGAGCGCTATCAACCCGCACACGCCGGGTCAGGAAGGAGTCCTCTCCGCTCACCAAACCCCTACATTTTGTTGCTGTTTCTCACTTTCCACTCTCAAAGCCCACTCAGCTTTCTTACCTTAAAAGCCTCCCCGGCTCCTGCTGGGAAATCTCGCTGCTTTTGGCTCAGGCACCTGATGCAGGCGATGGCTTTTGGGCCGCTGTGAGCTCTGAGTTCCTGTTTTAGCTTCAGCGATCTCCACTTCCTGCGTCCCAGCCCCCAGCCGCTCGGGTCGCGAGCACCAGAGCCCGAGCAGAGCACTGCACTTGTTCCCGTGCACACCGCCGGTCCCGCACACGCCGCCCGTGCTCTGGGGCACACACCCAGGGCACAAATTGCTGACTCCATGAATAGCGCCTGATAGGGCACAATTACATTTCTTAGTGTGCAAATGAGATCGTGATCTCTATTCCCGTCTCTTCCAAAAAATCATTCTGCCATAAAAGTACCAAAAAATCAAAAGGCTGAAGCGCCGGCGTTGACAATTCAATGAGATCCGAAGGAAGCTACTGCTTACAGAACTTGTTATGAAATTTGGCTCAGTACTCTACAGCACAATTAAAAATATATACAAACACACACAGTTATACACACATACATGAAAGCTCTTCCAGGACCAAAAAAACCCCCAACAACCAAGTAAACAGTTTGAATGACAAAAGCATGTAATTAAAGAGTCCTAAGCACTTACAAATCAAACTCTGGTACATTGTTTACTAGTGGGAAGTGCACAGCGTTGGAATTAGTAGCATGAATCTCAATAGTTCGACACGAATCATCTCAAACCAAAATAACTTCCTTTCTGAATAAGTCAAGTGAAAGAAGAGCTCTGAGAGTGGCCATTTCTATGTGACACAACAGCAAGATGCAAAGGGCTTGGAATGGAACAGGGTGGAATATCTCAGTTGGAAGGGCCCTACAACAATCATCCTGTCCAACAGCCTGACCAATTCAGGGCTCACCAAAACTTAAAGCATGTTATTAAAGGCATTGTCCAAATGCCTCCTAAACACTGACAGTCTTGGAGAATTGACCACCTCTCCAGGGAGCCTCTTCCGGGGCTTGACCACCCTCTCCATAAAGAAATCCTTCCTCATGTCCAGTCTGCCCTCCCCTGGAGCAGCTTTGAGCCATTCCCAGGTGTCCTGTCCCTGGGTCCTGAGCAGAAGAGCTCAGCACCTTCCTCTCCATGTCCCTCCTCAGGAAACTGCAGAGCCATGAGGTGGCTCCTCAGCCTCCTTCTCTACAAACCAGACCAACCCAGAGCCCCCAGCCGCTCCCCAGAGGACATCCCTTCTAGCCCTTCACCAGCCTGGTTGCCCTCCTCTGGACCATTCCAGGACCTTTGCATTCTTCTCCAATGGTGGGTCCCAGAGCTGCACACAGAGCTCCAGGCGAGGCCACCCCAGTGCTGAGCACAGCAGGACCATGCACTCTCTGGACTGGCCGCTCATGCTGTGTTCGATGCCCCCCGGGATGGGGTTTGCCCCCTTGGTGCCAGGGGACACTGCTGGCTCCTGCTGAGCTCTGTCCAACCCCAGGTCCCCTCTCTGCAGGGCTGCTCTCCAGCCATTCCTCTCCCAGTTCATACTTGTGTCTGGTGTTACTGCCTCCCAGGTATTTGGACTCCTTAAACTTCATGCCACTGATGAGTGCCCAATGCACTCCAATCTCTCCCATGGTTATAAAAAACAAAGTTCTGGTGGAGGCACCCGTCCTGGAGCAGGTATCGATGTCTTGGGCACACATTTCTTCCAATGTCTCTTCCCAGTGGTGGGAGGATTGAGGAAAATGCTGCCTGTGCTTCTGAGTCTTCTTACATTCTTCCCAGAGCCCTGAGATCTCTTTTGATCAACCTTGGACTTCTTGTTGCAACATCATTAGTATCCACGTGTAAGAGCTGGAGTTAGAAACAGCCCGAAGGCTGTACCGAGCTCATCAGTCATCGGGCCACATCCCACATTCGGGCCCCAGGGAGGCAGCAAATTTCTGTGAAAAGAGGATCTGGTCTGCAAACAGGTGTCTCCATCCTGCTCAGGAGGACGTGAGCTATAACCATAACTGTTGTTTCTTCTCAGCACTGGTCTCCATGCAGCTCTTGTTGCCTTGAGTCAGTTGATTTGACCTTGGTGAGAGTAGCTGCAAACGTTCCTCCTCTTCTGTCTCATCACACGCTGTGTCAGCCATACCCAGAGCCTCGTACCTGCTCTGAGAGGGCAAGGAGGGGCACTAACTGCTCC